AGAATTCCTCAGCCAGCTTTGCTGGCTGAGGAATTCTGGGAGTTGAAGTCCACAAGTCTTAAAGTGGCCAAGGTTGGACACCCCTGGCCTAAAGGGATATGCGTACCCACCTTACTCACCTTCCATAAGGGCCTGAAGACCTGGATCTGCCAGTTGGGGTGTACCATTCTGGAGGTGGTTTATTGGATTAAGAAAAGCTTCCACCTCACTTCGAGCTCCCCTCCTCCCCATCTTTTAACTGTACTTATTTTATTGTTGCTATTTATTGTTTAATCATTTTAAAGTCTACCAGTTTTAATGTTTGAAAGCTACCCAGTGTCAACTCTGGATGAGGTGGACAGCACATAAATCTAATAAAATAAAAATAAATAAAATAAAATAATGAAATGAAACGAAATAAACCAAATCACCATGATCTCTTCTGAAAACGATCCTAGAATTGCATTTCCCAGTCTTTTCCTTCCTTTATACTAACAAAGAGAAGTATTAAAGAAAATAATCATTTAATAATCATAAACATGACCTTTTCCTCCATTGTACCTGCTATGTGAATATCTGATCTAGAGAAAACGTATGTAAGACCATGATGTTACTTTCCATGTTATAGTATTTTTTTTTTTAAAAAAAAGCTGCCATGGTTGTTCTGAAAAATGACATTATCTAGGTTAAGAAGAGAACTAGACAACCAAAAATTTAAATGAATATTAGATGGCAGCCAAGAATTTGGGAATATATTTTGTATCTTGCTGTTATCTAGTGGTTGACCTCCCATGAAAAGTGGATGGTTACCTTCTGTTACTAAATATAAATATATTTAATTAATTAATTAATATATATTATCAGTGAATAAGTAAAATAAAAATTTGTTAATAAATAAATAAAACATATATTTGTCTTTCAGAAAGTCTGAGGTTCAATTCTCAGCATCTCTACTTTAAAAAAAACATATCTTAGGTTAAAAAATACATTAACAGGACTATCATGATAATATCCCAAAAGGTTAACAAAATATAGAAAGTTCATACCATCTAGAGCAAGGTAAATCAGTTACATTAAAAGGCAAACAGTTCTATGGTGATGTTGAGCACATGGAAGAATTCAGTCAGGAGAAGGTAGGTATACAATAGGGTACTTTATTCTAGATTTGTTCCATCATAAAAAAGGGAAATGGGAGGACTTCAGCAAGGAAAGACATACCTCTCTAGTCTGTAATCCAAGTAGAGAAAACAGATCTCTTACCTGAAACCGATAAAAAGTCCCATCATCCTTTAAAGTCAGTACGTGATCAGAGATTGGAAAAATATATCCTTGTGCTGCAACGAGACTTCCCATATGTATTGATTCAGCTGTAAAACACACACACACAAGCTCTGTCAGACAATTATGCTTTTCAGGAGTCAACTTGCAAAATTTGGGTGGCAGGAATTTTCTGACCAGATATGATGATATCAGTGGTAAACTCAACAAAATGGAAGTGCGATCATTTTATTCAGCTTTGAGCCCAGTGTTGGGGGTGGATTAAGAGTTAATCATCACAAGTACGATATATTAATTATTCACTTACTTAAATAACATACGGGCCACCCTTAACAGGCTGTCAAACAAAAAAGGAACCTGGATGATACATTTCTAATAAAAAGACCTTTATACCAGAAATAAAAAGTGAAGCAATGATGCTTCACTTTGGCTATCCTTGCAAAGGCAAATAACAATTTCTGTCGAATGGATGTTCACATGGCTGGATGCACAAGAGACTACTTAGGAGGCCAAATGACACCATTTGTTGCAGGTGAATGAGATGGAGCAAAATCTGGCCCATCTGGAAACTTAATAGAGTCCAGACACTCAGGCCTTTAATTCTGCAATCCAATTGAGATCTCACCTGCATGTTTATCATTCTGGAGTACAAGGTGAGAGAGATCTCTTCTCATGGCAGTGGTATAAATGCACATATTCGTAACGTATGGGGGTATGCAATAAAATATATTGAAATATAAAAACAGCATATAAATGATAACTGTTTTTAAAGATACAAGGATGATTAAAACACTATTAGAATTTCCTCCAGGTGAGATGGGCAACATGTAAGTTGAATGAATGGATAAATATTAATATTTTAATAATTTTAATAAATATTAAGTAAGGCGAAGGGAGGACTTTCAGGGTGCTAACCAGGCCCAGGGCTGCCTGCTCCTTATGGGCTCCCTATGCAAGTCTGCGGAGTCATGTTTTCATTTCTTTATGGAAGGCCAGGACGGTGTGGGCCTGCTTCATTTTGGAGGGGGGAGGAATTCCATAGGGTGGGGAAGGTCTCCTCCTCCTCCAAGTCAACCAATCAGAATTCTTTAACTGATAGTGTTAACTGACAGGTCCACAACATACCTTCCCTACCTGACTGGGTGGAATAGGGTACCATAATTATCTGTTCAAAGCAAAAGAAACCATAAAACTTTTAATAGAACAATGATAGCGATGTAGTCTGAATTGTGGCCTCTGCTGCAGTAATAAATTAGTTTCTACAGTTTCGGTACAGGCTAGGCCTCACATAGGTTGAAAGCGCGTACCAGGAACAGAGAACATCAATCAACAAACACGTCATCATGGGCAAATAACTGGAATGTAAGCGCTGATTTGCTACTTAGTACCTTTTAAACTGACCATGTAACTGTGATTGGATGTTACTATGTGTGCACTAATATTCCTACTCATGTAACTTAATGATTGGATAGACTTCACTGCTTGTGACGTATCACTGTGTGTTTTTAATAAAAGAGCTTCCCTGAGCTTATGAGAGGGGCAGCTCACCCAAGATAGAACCTGCGTTGGTGTCTTTCTCGATGCATTCAACCACCCAGTGAGAAGCCTTCCTAATGCGGAGCAAAGCCGCACTCTGCTATATCAAATATATTGTTGTGGCCCATCAGTGGCCAGCGGAGCTGGCAGCAGATTCAGACAGTGAGGAAGTTGGGGAGGAACATGGGCTAGTCCCGGAGTCTGAGGAAGGCTCTGACAAGTGCTCTGCATCAGAGCCAGAGTCCAGGGCCATCTGACAGTTATCAGCTGCCTTCAGAGTCGGACATCAGTGAGGCAGAAGCTGGAGCCTGTTCCCAGTGTGCGCATGCACAGAGTTGCCAGATGAAGGGAACAGTTAAGGAACAAGGGTCGACTTGGGAGTAAAGCTACAGGTGGACGGTGAATGGCCCCTCCCATAGGGAATAAAAGAGGAGCGAAAGGGGAGTGGGGTTTTGCAGGAGACAATTAGTTCATTCCTGCATTCTTGCCAAGTATTGTGGCATCTGAAAGATATCAGCCTAGTCATTCTCCAAGCCTGATAAAGGTCTGCAATTGTGAACTATCTTAAAAGACTTTGGCCAGGACTTGCTGGAGAGGAATTCACTGTAAATTAAATAAAAGGGGTTTATTGGGATGAGGACTCGGCTTCATGCTGTTGGGGAAGCCTAGGTCAGAAGACATAGCATCATCCTTCTAGCCATTGTCTACCCACTGCAGGATGAAGGCCTCTTCCGCATGTTTCCAACCAATATGGTCTTGAGCTTTCTTTTGCCAAGTGGGCCCACAATACTTCAATATACAATATATCGAACATATATCTATCAAGAAATATATCAATATATCAAGAAAGCCGTACCTTTTAGGAGAGAGAAAAAGTTGGGAAAAATTAGGAAACACCAAGGGTCAACATGTTTTGCCATGTTGCCTATACACTATCATTTTCTGAATCTGAGACATCATCACCAGTAATTTCTGCTTTTTAAGAATATTTTTAATTTTTTGTTGTTATAGTATTCCGAAAATTGAATTTTTGTCTTTATTGAGAAAAAAATCTATATATTTTATATGTAGTCTATTTCCTGCTTTATTGCGTTTGCAAATACAGTCTACATGCTTTATTAAAGTGCAGCTATATAGAATGAGTTTAAAAGCTCCAGTCTTCCCCCATAAAGTTTCTATTTTTTTTTTTTCAAAAGAGGAATAAAGTAAAAAGAAAAATAAATAGCACCTTGGAAAATAATGAAACTTCTGCCCTCAATCTTTAAAAGTAAGTTCATATTTTGAAGTAATAATGTTCCAAAGTTATTAAGAATGTACTGCAGTATGTGATTGGTATTTTCTGTTTTCACTTAGCTTTCCTGTCCAGACAAGGAAGAACATTCCAGAAGAGTGTATTCTGGGATCTAACTTAGCATTTCAAGATCAGTTTTGGCTTGGAATCACTTTCCAATCAAAACTTCTAAATAAAAAAATGATTTTTCAGCTTCAGATCACAACATTTACCATAGCATTTTATAATGACAAGCCTCAAGATAATGCTTCCTTAGAATTCAATGAATGCATTACCTAGATCTTCAATACTGAGATTCTTCATAAGCCACTGTACTATGTCAGCTCCTGAAGAGAAAGAAAGACAGATAGACAGAGAGTGAATGAGAGAGAGAGTTAAAAAGCATAACATAAACTATACGTAACTGATAAATAATTTTCAGGAGAAAGCTCATTCTTCTAGCTGAGCTGCTGCTGTCATATCTTCTGTAGTCAATTATCCATAATATGCATAATTCTGCAAACTCCATCTCAGTTTCATCATTGGAATTAAATGATTCTTAAATAATATCCCTGTTTCAATTCAAGTGAATATATGTAGCCATGTCTAACAAGGGACTCCTCAAAGCCATTTGACTCAGAGGCAGGGTTCACACAACTCAGTAGAATGATTACACTACTTGATTTGTGGAGCTTGTTTTAACGTATTTTGTGACTGAATTTTTGCCACTGAATTTATTTGGGTTTAGCATTATTATTGTTTTAGTGATAATGTTGTTAGATCCCATCTTTTATTTAGTAAAACTTGAGGGGAAATGTATCTTGCTTTCTACTTTCTGTTTTTCATGTGAGGTGAATTGGGCTGAGTGACTGAACTGTCCAACATTCATGCATAAAGGGCTAGAACTCAATAGTCTCTAGTCAGTTTATAATCTAGCACCTTAATCTCTACACCAAATTGAGTCTCAGTCATACACACAAATGCACTTATATTTCAGTCATATATCTCCGCATGCTTGTAAATATTAATGATATATCTCCACATGCTCTGTGAAAAGAGTTGTTTAGGTAAGATGGGTGAATGTGATGAATGAATGAATGAATGAATATAGCAGTTGTTTTTTCTGCTTAGCATGTTATAGGAACCCAGATGGAATCTGATCTTTAAATGCAAAACCCATATACCATTGCTTAGGGAAGACAAAAACAAAACTTAACATTATTCCAACAATGAAACTCCCACACTAGTTCACAGAGTAATAATGCCCTGATGCAAGATTTGCCAACAGTTCACAGCAAGAGTTTTTTAAAAAAAACATTAAATAAAAGATATCAAGAATTATTTATTGAGAGTTTGCAAAAAGGAAAATTCATGGTTCACCAGGCAACATCCTACTGAGTACAAGAGTGCCTGGAGACAATAGGGAAAGAGCTGCCATATACATGCCATACCAGTGAACCTCCACAGCCATAATGGTGGATGAGGCCAGTCTAATTCAACAAGGCTGTTTTTGTGATCTTCTCTTTTCCAAATTTGGGGGCACTTCTATTCTCCCTCTGCCTCAGTTGCAGTCAGTGGGCCCTTCCATTCATCATGCTAAGTGGTGACTTGGTTCCCTGCTCCAAGGGCTTGCCATGGAGATATCTTTGTGTATCTTTCTTATTTTACTTATTTATTAAACCTCATGCGACCCATTTTATAGATATGAACTCTTCCCATCAGTTCTGTTTTTCCATATGATTTCTTATCAGTCAGGAGTTTTCTGAGTAAAGTGGAAGGAACATATTTTACAATTTTCCCCCATCTATCACTGGCAGCAACCAAGCGATAGAGATTGTTAAGCATGAAAAACAAGCGCCTTCTGTCTTTTCCTAAAGAAGTTGACAAATTAAAGATGTACAAAGTTTTGATAGAAATAACCTCCAAAATATACATATACACAAATATCATTTCTTCATGCACCTTAAAAGCCTGAAGGATGTTTAAAAAAACAACAACATAGAAAATGTTTCCAGTAGTATCCCACTTTTCTCAAGACTGAAGGATTATTTTTTGCTGACTTTGCCAGACCATTAATTATCACCTGTCAAAAATAATTACTCACCCTTAGGATAATGACAAGTTTTTCTTCCTCTGTTAATTACTGTCCTTGCTAACAGTCTGATCAGCATTCATCAAGATGACAGGCAGATTTATCCTCTCATTCCCTGCTTGTCTTTCTTACCTCAATCAGTAATTCAACCAGAAATTTTACAAAGAAAAAGACTTTAAATGTTTTTTTTAAAGAAAGTCCTTCAGAGAATCCACTTCAAACTATTTTATAAAGAGAAATAAGATACACACACACACACACACACACACACACACACACACACGCATGCACGCACACATCTATTCATGATTATCCCTTCCAGCAATAGCAATAGCACTTAGAAGTACATACAGCTTCATAGCACTTTAGAGTCTTCTATATGTAGTTTATTGACCCCAGTAATCTGGGTTCTCATTTTACCAACCTCAGAAGGATGGAAATCTGAGTCAATTTTGAGCCAGTCAGGATTGAACTACTGGCTGTTGGCAGAATTAGCTTGCAATACTGAATTCTAATTACTGCACTATCACAGCTCAGAATCAGTGTTTACTCTTTTCTCCTAAACATGATCTTCAATATATTAATTTATATGTTGCTCTTTACCAAGCAGGAAAATATGAGACCACAATGCAGTAGATTTTATTTTACACATTTCCCAATAAAGGTCAGGGGAATGAACTATAAAATTACATTATACTTCAGGAATACTGAGATAAGACATAGAGAAATAAATAAGGGATAAATACAGCGGAAATAAGTAATCATTCGGTTTCAAAATAGAGCCTTTATAACATTCTGTTCCCATGTTTATTGGCCACCCATCTTGGATTTTTTTCTTTCAATGTTTTGCATCGAATTACTGTCTCTTCCCTCTCTCTCTTATTTTTCATCTTTTGGAAGAATCAGAGATCTTGATGCACAGGGAGATTATATACTTAAGCATGGTATATAAAATCATACATTGCAATGTCCTACCTGTCAATGAATACTTCAGCTTCAACCATAACAACACAAGAGCACACAATAGATACAAACTCAAAGTAAACCGCACCAAACTTGATTGCAGGAAATACGACTTCAGCAATAGAGTGGTCAATGTCTGGAATACTCTACCCGACTCTGTAGTCTCTTCCCCAAACCCCAAAAACTTTAACCTTAGACTGTCTACTATTGACCTCACCCCTTTCCTAAGAGGTCTGTAGGGGGCGTGCATAAGCGCACCAACGTGCCTACCGTCCCTGTCCTATTGTTTCTCTTATTCTTTTATTTTTCTTATATGTACCCATTTCATGTATTTACAACTATGTATATACTTATACTTATTATCTTGTAAACAATTGGCAAATCAAATCAAATAAATAAATAAATAAATAAATAAATAAATAAATAAATATTTTAATTGATTAGTCTTATTGCCTTGAGTAGAATCATCCAATGATTTCAAATACTGAACCATACTAGATGCCTTCTTCTCATTGCTTTCTTAAAGGATTTGCTGATAAACTAGAAAAGGGTATGAAAAGAAGTGCAGAAAAGCAAAAAGATCAATAATATATGCTGTAAACTACAGAATATCAGCTATAGTTCAAATTGGACTATCTGTACATAAGAAAGAGGTATCTAGTGGCTTAGAAGTTATGATACCCCGCTTCCCATCCCGCATCTGTAGAACTAAGGAGTTTTCACAGCCTTTGCTGTACTGTACTGCTCAACTTGCGACCACAACTGAACCCAAAATTTATGTTGATGCCAGTTGTTAAGTGAGTTTTGCTCCATTTTTGCCAAAGTTGTTAAGTGGATCGTTGCACCTGTTAAGTAAATCATGCAGACCTGGCTTCCCCTATTGACTTTGCTTGTTGGAAGCAAAGGTTACAAATGATGATCACATGACCCTGGGACAACGCAACTGTCATAAATACATGCCAGTTGCCAAGTGCCCATTTTTGATCACATGACCGTGGGCATTCTGCAATGGTCGTAAATGAGGAAAACGGTCATAAGTCACTTTTTACAGTGCCTTGTAATTTTGAACAGTCAGTAAATGAATAATGTACAAAGTCCCTGTGTACTGAACAGCTGAATGAGGGTGCTGTGTGATTAAACAATGGAGGATGAAAACAGAACACCAGTCAGGAAAGTGAATGGGATAATGTAGAATATTCTATCAGGAGGAACAATATTGCAATAAACTGTTAAGTGGATTCCAAACGATCTTGTATACAAAGGTCTTTGTTTTACATATAATCTGATTAAAGACATGTGCTTTCTTTTTCAATAATAGTAGTATTCAAGGGAACAAAGGAAAGGGAAGTAGCGTGCATTTTCACTATAACACAGACACAAATGTAAGACTTCATTTTATTTTGAAAACGATTCCATCAAAGTAGAATGCTTTACCCACACAATTCCTATATTGTTTGTATAGTATGCCGCTCTATATAAATTGATCTAAGCATTTCTTAGTTATTGTATGGATCCGTTTCTATGGGTTACTACAAAAGGAAACAGGCTGTAAAAGTCATTTTTCCTCTTTTCATTGAATCCATTTGTCAATTATCTGTTCATTCTAGTACCAGAAAGTGAAGTTACACCGTTATACATCATTGACAAAACTATGAATCTGATCATAAATGGTAAAGCTGACCATTCATCCAGCAAAATACTGTAGAGGCAGGACAATTGCTCTTCATTTCCAACTATTTCCTCTTATATATTGGATCACAAGCCTATGTGAATGATACCAAGCATTTTCAGAATTCGAGCAGCTGTCACAGTGACAAATAGCAAGGCCGTCAAGGAAACAGGCAATAAAATTTTGTGTTCAAATCTGAGAAACTGAATGAATTATAGATTGAAACCTGCTGGTAGTAGAGATGAACGTGCTAGAAACAGGAGAATTTTTTCTGACTCGGTCTGAAGAACTCAGCAGTTTCTTCCGTGATGTTCCCAAAGATTGAGGCATACTTTAGAATAAAGTTGAGACATAGGGTTCAAAGCCAATCAGTCCTATGTCACAAAGTGTCTTTTATTAGTCACCTGGGCTCTGTTACCTTCATTTAGCTATGCATCGGTAGATTTCAGGAATGTGCTTTGAAGTTTTGAAAACTGTAGCTACTACAGAATAGAGTTTTTAATTAATAACTAGGCTTGTTCAAATGGAACTTGCAACAAATGTAATGTGAAAAGCCTGGGATGACTACAGAGAAGGTTTCAAAAAAATCAAAATAGTTGTTGCAACCTTATGCAGCTTCCATT